GGGGTTTCACCGTGTTAGCCAGGATGGTCTCGATCTCCTGACCTCGTGATCCACCTGCCTCAGCCTCCCAAAGTGCTGGGATTACAGGAGTTAGCCACCGCGCCCGGCCTCTTTCTTTTTTCTTTTCTTTCTTTTCTTTTTTTTTTTCTGAGACGGAGTATCACTCTATCACCCAGGCTGGAGTGCAGTGGCAAGATCTCAGCTCACCACAATCTCCGCCTCCCAGGTTCAAGTGATTCTCCTGTATCAGCCTCCCGAGTAGCCTGCCACCACACCCGGCTAATTTTTGTATTTTTAGTAGAGACGGGGTTTCGCCACGTTGGCCAGGCTGGTCTTGAACTCCTGACCTCAGGTGATCTGCGCGCCTCGACATCCCAAAGTGCCAGGATTACAGGTGTGAGCCACGCGTCTGGCCTGCAAGTGGACAATTCTAAGCACGTTCTGCTCAGCTCCTCTGACAATCTCGGCCATCAAATCCCAGGTGCCGCAGGGATGGCCCACTGGACAATGACCCTGTATGAGCCGCCTCCATCCCGGCTCCCTCTCCCCAGCCCCACTCCTGTTGCCCTTGGCCCTTTAGAAATAAACTTCTGCTTCTGGAACTGAGTCTCCAGCTCTGCTTTCCAGAGAGGGCTGTGGGTGGGGGACCAGCTTGAGGCAGGGAAGGAGCAGGGAGCAGGGACCCAGGCTGGTGGGCAGGTCCCCAGGAGCCTCGAACGCCAGGCACAGACGCTGGGCTCCTTGGGGTCTCAGCAAATGAAAGTGGCTGAGTCACTGTGCCTGAGCTGTCTGACTGACTGCAATTGCAGACTTGACCCAGGAGAGAGATGGAGAGACTGACAGAGACCACGAATGCCCACACACACGCAATGCGAGAGAGAGAGGGAGAGAAGGAGAAAGATCCAGACAGGAAGAAACTGGGAGATGCGGGGAGATGACAGAAGAGCCTGGGGTGGGAAAGAGGGAAAACAGAGCTGCTGGATGTGCAGGATCAGCCCCTCCACCCCTCCGGCCTGGGGTTTTGCCACACAGGACCTTCCGCTCACAGTTCTCCCAGGGACATTTGGGACCAGACCTTTCTGGATACCAGGGGTGGGGTGATGACTTCAATTCTAAGCATGGAGGCCTGAGGGCACTGGGGCTCCGTTTCCTCAAGGAATCCTTAAAGAGAAAGGCCAAAGGGAAGGACAAATCAAGAGATGTTTCATTAACATAGCCTCCTGCCCTGAGGATTTTGAGCTCATCCCAGCTGCTGTGAGGGAGCCCTGGGAGGGTGTGCAGGGGTCCTTGCTGATGGTGATTAATCTGACCTACTCTCCAAATAGCCAACTATCTGCTTTCTTGCGTAGAAGGAAAGGGAAGTCGAGGTTGTGGGGAGATGACACAGACACTAGTGGGCCCTGAACTTTAGTCAAGAAGAGGTCCCCAAGTGGGTTTCTGAGCAGAAATGCCCAGGACCTGCAGGACCAGCATGGCCATTGTCCCGCTGCCATACCCTCTCTGGTCTCACTCTTCTCGTCTTCACAATGGGGATGTTCACATGCAGCTCGCAGGCTGGCAGTGACGATTTCTCTGGGTGATGTGCATGAGCAGGCGCTTGTCAAACCGGCCCCGCCCACACATGCAGATGGGGGAAAGAGGGGCTCCCGGAGCTCTCTGACTCGACAGCTCAGTTTCCTGGAAGTCCTGCCCCTCCCTGCTCCCCTGATGTGTTAACTGTCCTCTGGTGCTGGGAGGTCACGCAGGCAGGCAGCTGAGAACTCCCAGCTCACCCCCAGGCTGGGTATGCTTCAGGGTCTGACCCTAACGAGGGTCCCAGGTGGTGCACTCACGGGGCACTCCTGACCTCACTGCAAAGGGGTCAAAGCTGAACTGACATGAGAACCCCAGCGCACACAAACTAGACAGGACAAGGACCAGATGTCCGAACTGTTTAACCAGCTCCACCGCCCACCGGGAAAGACACTGAATTCCCAAAGACATATTTTTAAGAAGTGATGAAATTGCCTTTTATTTTTGCACAGGTGGGTGAGTAAATGAATGAATGCACAGGATAAAACTCAGAACGGTGAGAACCAAAACAAGGTAACTGTTACTAGATATAAAAGTTTAAAAAATAATAGTACTGAACACCACCGCCATATAAGCACATAGCATTCCCTTATGCTACTTAGAATCCTTCACGGAGCCTTCACCACCATCACCCTTGCACAGATGAGGAAACTGAGGCTGACTTGGGATAGGGGCCTCCCCAGGGTCACAGAGCTGGAAGTGGCAGTGCCAGGACTGGAGACCAGGCCCACAGCGCACTCTGAAGGCACACAGTAGATTGGAAGTTGCTCTTCCAGGGCGAGTCTGCATTCTGGAATGTTCATCCACTATACCAGGGTCAGTGCCTGCCCACTTTTGCCTTTCCTCCTGGGAAATCACTCCCCATAGCTTATTAACCCAGGCCTCTGCTGCAGAGCCCACCCGGGGGAACTCAAGCTGCCGGCTGCTGCCCCTGGCCGAGGTGACCACACCTGCCCCTCGGAGCTGGAGGCCATGAGCAGAGGTGCCAGTCGGCCTGGCAGAGGGGACTCCGGGGGCAGGGCCAGAGGTGAGGGAGAGCAGCCATCATAGCCCAAGGCTTAGCCGTGCCCTGCCTTCCCTCTCTCTTGCCTTTCTCGGTGTCTCTGGGGCCACCTCCTGGCCTGTGGCATCTCCCCAGGCTGGGTTTCCTGGTGACCCTCTGGAGTGCAAGAGACCCAGGCTGGGCAGACTGGACCGTCCCACACCCCAACCAACTGTGAGAGCCAGGTATTTCCTGAGCCCTCACTGCTCCTCCTCCAAAAAAGGGAGCTGGTATTGGCCTTGCAGGGCCGGCGAGAGGCGGAATGGCGTAGGAGAGGGGACCTCAAGGGAGCTGTGCAATAAGCAACCTAAGGCCAGGAGCTGGAGGTTTTAGATCGATCGATCGATTGATTCAGGAAAGTCTGGAACTTGGGTGAAAAGGCAGACTAGGGAAACTGAGGACTCCAGCAGTCAGAGGTGCGCAGGAGAGGAGAGAGTGGAGCAGGGCCACCACAAGTTTGTGTCATCCAGTCCATCCCTGACCCACTTCACAGCTGGGGACACTCAGGCTCAGAGAGGTTGAGTTCTCTGCCCAAGGTCACACAGCCAGCTTTTCATAGAGCCAGTAACACCAAAGTGAAGTACTTTCTAATCCCAATGTTTTTAGTGAATTGGATGGACCAAGGGGGCCTGCCGGAGCATTTTATCAGATCACTCTCATCCTCATCCTTCCAGAAAGTCAGGCTCTGTTTATTATTTGCTCTCCCAAGGTCCAAACAGACCTGGGACCTTCTTGTGTTTCCTTATTCAAAAGAGAAGCTGCCTTTCCAGGGGAAGAGAGTGGACGCTAATGCAGCAACAGCTACATGACAAAGGCCTGACCCCACAGCAACCCTCAAGTTACTGAGTGTCCTTTGCGCTTCACCTGCGTGACCTCCTCCCAACAGAACCAGAGGCTGCTAGTTCCATTTCACAGGTGAGAAAACCAAGGCACATGAGGCCATGCCCTCCCTAGTAGCCAGCAAATGGCAGAGAAGCAGCACAGACCCTAAGTGTGCTTGGCACACAGTCACAGTTGGAACCATGAACCTCACCTTGTCTTCCTTCATTTAATCACAAACAGTGCTTCCATGCGGGGTGGAGAGGAAGGGAGGTTGAATCCTGTATTTTTAGTGGCTTAAAACGGCATTTATTTTTGCAGTTTCTGTGGGTCAGTAATCAGGTGCCTCTGGCTGAAGGTCTCTCATGAGGTTGCCGTCGGGGTTGGCAGGGTCTGCAGTCTCATCTGAAGGTTCACTAGGGGAGGACCCACCTCCAAACCTGCTCATGCATGACCCCCATTCGTGAGATGAACAGACTGAGGCTCAGAGAGGTTAAGGGTCTGACTCCAGAAAATGCAGCTGGAAGCATCAGGGCCAGGTGAATTCATCAGCCTGTGCAGAGACACGGGGTCCAGGTGGAAGCAGCTCCTGGGGCTTTCCAGGGCAGGGAATCTGCTCTGTCTTTGCCGTTAGCTGCCACTGTGGGCACCCACAACACACTCTTCAGACATCAATCCACAAATCCCAGCCAGGCCAGGCCTTTCTGTAATCCCACCCTGACTTTGTAGATGTCTCCTAGGCTCAGGTGGCACAGCTGCCCAGGGTCACACACAGGGGGGTTGGTGGAGGTGGGATGCAAACCAGGTCTTCCAGCTGAAAGCCCCTGTTCTTGCTCCATCAAACAGTTTCCTGTGTCCAGTGGCAGAGACACCTGAGCCCCAGCACAGGGCCTCACCTTGATGCAATCAACTCATGGTCTGGGCGTGGGAAGCGTGGCGCCACAGGCATGGCGGAAGATACCCCCAGGGAGGCAAGTATGATGGTAGAGTCCAGGCCACGGGGCCAGAGTGCCTGGGCCATCCACACGTTCATCCCACTCCCCAGCAGGAGATGTTGGGATTCCCGCCATCCCCGCATCGTGTCTCAGCTCGCCATTTTAAAGAGTGAAGCCAGAAGCCCCACCTCGCAGGCTACACTGGTGATCAGACGGGGCAACCCACTGGCGTGGCAGCTGAGTTAGCACATGCAGGATACACGCACAGGGCACTGTCCCTCCACTGCAAGAGATCGACGCAGTTATCTGCCGTTCAATGGTGAGTACTACTGTATGCTTAAGGACAGAATCTCACAACTGGAGAGAGCCTGATGAAGCCCAGTCCACCACTTCCTGGGCAAGCCATGTCCCTCTAACATCCACGGAGTGGGGTGGTTTAGAAATGTGCCCTCGGGGCGCTCCCACTGAGGGGAGGACAGGAGGCTCTTAACCCAGCGCCCGTCCAAGACGAGAGCTCAATCCTGGGTGCTGCTATTGTTCTTCTGATTTTCCGCTAGAGGGCAGTGGCGGCTCGGGGCCGTCCCCTCCAGCTGAGACTACCTGGGCCTGTAAATGTCAGAGGAGCTGCAGAGGTTGGTGCTCTGTCTACACACAACGAGGGACTTGCTCAAAGCTACCAGGGCTCATCACACGCTTGTTCACAATGGGCGCTTGTGGGGAGACACACCACAGACAGGTAACAGCCTAAAGGATTGCAAACTTGTGGGGGGAGTCAGGGGGTCCCGTGCCAGGGGCTGCTGAAGACCGGGACTCCAGGAGCCCCCTGTGCAAGGCGTGCTGTCCTTGGGCTGGGCCTGGGGCTCTGGGCCCCTGCAGAGGGGCACCTCTTTTGTCTATAAACTTTCCCAGAAACGTCTTCCTCTATAAACTTGCACCAACAAATGGCTTTTATTATCACACTAACCACATTTCTTCTGATTGCAAAAATAATCATCTTCTGATTTTAAGAGTAATGTGCATGAAAAATACAGAAAGAGTATTTAGTCACTTGAACCTGTATTTATTTGAACCTGTATTTAGTCACTTGAACCTGTCATTCTGATGTTTCCATATTCTTCTGTCCAACATTTTTCTTCTGAAGAGCATTTTTAGAAGCACAATGTTTTGAGATCTCTCCTGCCTGGGAGAAACATTGAGACTGTCTCCCACATGGTCCCTGTTCTACTAGAACATTGCCCGTCATTCTCAGTGGCTCCTGACTCCCTGCTGGGCTGGGCAGACCCCTGGTGTCAGGGCCCAAGCTGACTCTGGGGAGGGTGGGTCCCAGGGAGAGGTGAGGTCCAGCTTCTGTGGCCAGGTCAGAAGGGTGCAGTTCAGGTCCTGTGTGGCCTCGGAGTTATCCACCCCACTGGCTTCAGCCTTCCATGTGTGAAGCTGGGATTCCCCCACTCGGGGGTCCCACTATCCCTGCCCTGCTAGAGTACCCACCTTTCCTTTGCCGCTCTCTGTGTTTTGCCCTGGCCTCAGGGAGCACTGCTTATCCCAGAAACAATGGAACCATCTGCTGGCTGCTGCTGCAGGGCCTCAGCTTCTGCTGCCTGGGGTCTTGGTACAGCAGTGTCCATTGTTATCTGGGATCTTTCAGCCTCTCGTGGGCAGCCTTCACGCAGGGGGTCATGCCTGCTCTTCATAGGCCACCTTTCACCCTTCACTCCCTCACTCGCCCTGCAGACTCCTCCTAGCTATGGGAGACTCGCTAGCAGGGTGGCCTGCCTGGCACTTTTAGGATCAAGACTGACCAAAAGAAGGTGCACTTGGCTTTATTTATTTCTAGAACAGTCTTATAGAATAAGAAAATACATTTATTTATGTATGTATGTATGTATTTTGAGACGAAGTCTTGCTCTGTCGCCCAGGCTGGAGTGCAGTGGCGTGATCTCGGCTCACTGCAACCTCCGCCTCCTGGGTTCATGCCATTCTTCCGCCTCAGCCTCCCGAGTAGCTGGAATTACAGATGGCCACCACCACGCCTGGCTAATTTTTTTTGTTTTTAATAGAGACGGGGTTTCACCATGTTAGCCAGGATGGTCTCGATCTCCTGACCTCATGATCCACCTGCCTCGGCCTCCCAAAGTGCTGGGATTACAGGCGTGAGCCCCCGCGCCAAGCAAGAAAACACATTTAGAACTTAGGTGACTTGTGTGTTTTTAAATGAATTCTGGCTCCATAGTGACAGTCCCCAAGGCACAAGGAATCACACATAATTTGTTTGTTTTAGAGACAGGGTCCCACTCTGCTGCCCAGGCTGGAGTGCAGTGGCACCATCATAGCTCACTGCAACCTCTACCTCCGGGGTCAAGCAAGCCTCCCACCTCAGCCTCCCAACTAGCTGGGACTCCAGGTGCGTGCCACCATGCCCAGCTAATTTTTTTGTAGAGACGAGATCTCACTATGTTGCTCCGGCTGGTCTCAAACTCTTGGGCTCAAGCAATCCTCCCATCTCAGCCTCCCAAAGTGCTGGGATTACAGGCGTGAGCCACCATGCCTGGACTCACACACATCTTGCACACATCAGTGATTTCTGAGTCCACCACATTAGATTAAAAGGAGGTGGCCGGGAGGCTGCCATGGTGTGGATGTTCCTGTCATTGGGGAGTTCTTGACAATGAGAAGGGAGCGGAGGTGTCTCACATCAGCTCTCACACAATCCTGGGCCCCCGCAGCCCGCCGGAGCTGTGGGGGTGTCAGTGGAGAAGGAAAATGCCTCCCCACAGTCTGGCAGGTGGGGACTGGCCTGCTCAGCAACTCAGTCCCACGCCCCAGCTGGAAGGTGCACAGAGCGCACCCAGCCCAGCCCTCTTAGATGCAGATGCGGAGACTGAGGCTGGGATTTTAAATGCAGGCTCCTAACATGGCTCGGCCCCGGCCCGGGGAGAGGACCTGATGGGCTGGGGAGGGCAGATGTCAGAACCTCAAGCACAGAAGAGCTCTAAGTCTGCAACTTTAGCCATGGGAGGCACCTCGGCGCAGACCCAGCTTGGGGCTTCCAGAGTAAGAATGTGTCCAAGCTGCTGCACTGCTCAGACCCTGTCTCTGCACTTGGAAATGGGAACGGCTGCACAGACCTCACTGTGGGGGGGTGACACCCAAGTCAGAGGCACAAAAAGAAGCACCCAGTGAGGCCCCTGGTCCCCTGCAGGCTCCTGGCCTGCAGAGGGCCCATGGCAGAGTGGCCTAGGACTAATCTCTCAGCCCCAGGGCCTGGCCTCCCCAGTCTAGTGGCCAGGGCACATACCCGTGGCCACCAGGAGCTTGGGGCCCTCCGGGAATTCCAGGGCTCTGGCAGATTCCTGAGGACAGTACTGCTAGGGGCTCAGTCACAGCTCACAGCTCAGCTCCGGCAGGCATCAGTCGGCATGGACCTCCGTGTGGCTGTGGGTCAGAAAGCTCACTCCATGAGCAGCAGACCCTCAGCGCCTGCTGTGGGCAGGCTGAGAATGTCGCCCCATGTGGCCAGGCTTCCTGGGTTTTCAAGAACAGCAAGATGTCTGGCTTTTGGGGGCGATCTCCACCTGCTTTGGGAAGTCTTTAAACCTCACACCAGCACACTGAGGGCCACTTTGGAGGGTGATGCTCACAGGAACGTGAGCTCCCAAAGTGGGGCCTGTATGAAATCCCTGGTCCTGGAGTAGCACCCACTGAATGTGGGGGGAAGGAAGTCTCTAGTGGGAGGGACAGAGCAGAGACCCAGTGACTATTGTTACCAGATTGCAATGAGCAGGGCATTATACAGGCAAATTTGGTGGTCTCCTAATTAAAAGCAAAGAAAAATGTCAAACAATTCATACCTCATTCATTCATTCATTCATTCACATAAATAACAAGAATTGCGTGGCCAGCTCCTGCCCAGCCCCAAGGACTAGTTCATGCACCACAGCCCAGAATTTCCCCTGTCCCGACTGAGCAACAGTAAAAGTCACCTGGCAGGGCTGGGTCAGGAGCACCAGGATGCCCGATAAAAATACACGTCAGGGGTGCGTGTGTGTGTGTGTGCACGAATGTACATGTGTCTCTGTGTGTGCATATGTGTATATGTGTGTGAGAGTGCACCTGTGTGTATATGTGTGGTATGTGCACGTGTGTATGTGTATGTGTGTGTGCATGCATGTGTATGCATCTGTGCACCTGTCTCTGTGTACGTGTGTGATTGTGTATATGTGTGCCAGTGCACCTGTGTATGTGCACACGTGTTTATGTGTATATATGTGCATGTGTGTATGTGTATGCACGTGTGCACGTGTCTGTGTACGTGTGTGCGTGTATGTGTGCGAGTGCACCTGTGTATGTGTATATATGTGTGTATACGTGTGTGCATGTATGTGTATATGCATGTATGTGTGTGTGCATGTATGTGTATATGCATGTATGTGTGTGTGCATGTATGTGTATGTGCGTGTGTGTGTGTGTGTGTAGGGCATTGTTTTAAGCCGCGAACATTCATTACCTCATTTATTCCTCATAAATACCCGATGAGGTAGGCCAACTACTTATTGTTCTTCCGGCAAAAAGACCAGGAAAGGAAGGCACAGAGAGGTTAAGAAACTTGCCCTGTGTCACACAGCCTGTCACAGAGGCTGTACCCAGCTCCTGGGGGCTCAGGGGGCCTGTGGAGGGGCAGGGAAGCCCATGTCCATCAAGTCCCTGGTGCGTATCTGAGGGTAAGAGTGCTGTTTGGAACAGAGGTTCCCAGAATTGCCTGATGACAAGCATCGCTTGGAAACTTGTTAGAAATCCAGATTTCTGGGCCCCACCCTGGGAGATTCTGATACAAGGGGTCCTGAGTCAAAAATCTCAACCTTTAAGGACATCCCAGGTGACTCTATCTTGATCAAGTTTGGGGACCAGTCCCTCTGGGCACTGCATGAGAGGCCCTGCCCATCTTTGCTGGCCTTACACTGGGCCCCACGGCACACAATAGGTGCTCGGTAAATGTTTACTGGACTCCCAGCTAGCTGCCATGACGGCCCAGCTGCAGAAACCAGGCCCAGGCGAGACTGGTCAGGTTCTCCTCATCCCAGAGGAGCAGGGCCTGGCATCCGTTCCTAGGACCCAGCCTCTCTCCTCTCTGAACAGGGACCAGGGAGGCGATCTGAAACCCCCCAAAGCCCTGGGCAGACTGGACGGGGCCCTGGAGTGCTTGTGCCAAGCTCCCTGCAGCGGCTTCTCCCCGTCCTGCTTGGGAACGCTGGCCTGGGAGAGCTGAGGGGGAGGAGGGTCAGGCAGGAGACAGCCCTTCCCAGGGTGGGGTGGGGCGGGCGGGCTGCAGCAGCACAGCGAATGACCTAGGGCCGGCCATCCAGGTCAACTGATTGGAGTCCAGAGGTCAGGCTCACTAAAAATGTGTGCCTTCCTGCCCCTCAGGGTTCTGGGCTGCGGGGCTGTCCTGAGGAACCGTGATAGCAACAGCTGAGGCTCTGCAGCAGGTGGTGGACCCGGGATCCAGCCTCCCCTCCTCCCCTCCTCTGCAGGGTGAGTTCAAGAACATTCCTCTGGGTCTATCATCACTGGGCTGGTGCCTACTTCTCAAGGTGTTGAGGGAAAACAGTAAGAATTAGTACCAGGGGGCTCACGCCTGTAATCCCAGCACTTTGGGAGGCCAAGGCGGGTGGATCACCTGAGGTCAGGAGTTCAAGACCAGCCCAGCCAACGTGATGAAACCCCATCTCTACTAAAAATACAAAAATTAGCCAGGGGTAGTGGTGGGCATCTGTAGTCCCAGCTACTCAGGAGGCTGAGGCAGGAGAATCACTTGAACCTGGAGGCGGAGGTTGTAGCGAGCCAAGATCATGCCATTGCACTCCAGCCCGGGTGATGGAGCGAGGCTCCATCTCAAAAAAAAAAAAAAAAAAAAAAAAGAATTAGTACCAGGATCTC